AATCAAACAATCTTGAATTATCGTCTATTTCATATACTGTAAAACTCATTTCCATATACTCTAAATACTGTATACTCATTTCATATCATTTGTAAATACTGTGTCTCCATAAACTGTATACACATTTTCATTATACTGTAAAACAATAAAAACTCTTACATCCGAATTTAAACTATTTTAAATAGATATCACTTTAGCGATTAGGAATTCTGGAATATAATATTAGCCTAGGTTTTTGATGATATTTGCATTTTATTACAATTTTTTTCCGTTTCGAAAGTTACTTCTCTTTTAGGGCATTTTTTATTTTTTTAGATTTTTAAAGTATTTTTTTAAATAAATAAATAAATAATTAGGAGCTTATTTGCATTTTAGAGCAAATTTCGAGTTTGGGGTATATTCTTTCCCCATTTAAAAAAAAATCTCTAGTACCATTTTTCCTAATAAATAAATGAATAAAAATAATAAAATAAACAATAAATGAATTAATAAAAATTAAAATAANAAATTGTTCTTTAAATATTGAGCGCGTTCTGCTTCAGAAAGATTTACCAATGTTCTATGTTCTGGGTCGTTTATTTCAAGTACTTAATCCTTCTAATTAGGGAAATTTTGCTTCTCATTTGCTGGTAAAAAATAGCTTCCTACTCTTGCCAATGTTTCTGATAGAACTAAATAAAAGCCTTAAAATGTACTACCCGCTAGAGGGCGTGTTCAAGCTTTGAGATCGCGAATTCTGTCTCTAGTTATGTTTTTAAAAAGTGAACTAAATCCTTTGAAATCAACTGTAATGGAATACATGCAAATGACGTAGTGTGGGTATCTCGATTCTGATTAGTTGTTGAAGCGTGGAATTTGTTTACTTTAGCAACTGTTTTTTCAATCCTATTTCGAGTAAGCCAAGTCCATCAAGTATCATTTCTCTTACGTGACATATTCTATATTCTTACACAAAGATTTTTACACACAGATTCTTTCACAAAGATTTCAACTCTCTTACTATATATTTCTAATTCAACACAAAGATAGACATGAAGCTACGTAGAACATAAACAAACTAATTATGCATCGAAGTTGCCAGGTACACAGAACAAAAATATATCACGGTTACAATAAATAAATAAACAAATAATAAATCTAAGTTAAGTATAAGATGTAGGCGAGAAAGAATTATATTTCAACAAGTTTGATGTGCGACACGGCGCAGTATTTAATTAACTTCACGTTAATTGACATTCTAACTTATTTGGTGAAGCTTGAAACTTAGCTCAACTTTAACGCGCCATTTTGCTCATAAACAATCAGCTGGAGCTGACGTCATAGGTCACACGTGTGGGTATCTGTGTTCTTCTTCACGAAGTGCAAATACCCAATTGAAGAATAAAAAAATGACAATTAATGTATTGTAAAGCAAAATTAATAGAGATATAGTACTAATTCGTATAGTAGAAATGTAAGAAATCGCCATATTCTTATAGACGCCAATGATGCTTGAGTAATTTGTTATTAGGTAATAATTTAAATTAAAAAAATGACTATGTTCTAAAGAGCAAAATTAATGGAGAAAAAGTATTTATTCCTTAAAGGAAATCGTGAAAAATTACCAAACTATTATCGATTTCAAAGAGGCTTAATCAATTTTAGTAAAGTGTACAAATTTAAGTGAAAAATAAGCTGTGTACTAAAGAGATAAATGATAGAGAAATCTTATTAGCTTGTTTAAAGGAAACATAAAAAATCTAACTATTATAGATGCCAATGATGTTGAATTAAATTTGGTAATAAATATAAATTGAATAACTATAAACTTAAATCAAAATTAATAGAAAGATGGTATTAAATCGCTTAAAAAAACCATAAGAAATCGCCTTATTATTATTGACGCTTAGCTTATTTTGATTACAATGACTAATTGAAAGTAAAAATAAGCAATGTTAAAAGCAATATTACTGGAGAAATGGTACTTATCTGTCTTCTCTAAGGGAAGCGCAAAAAATAGCCAAACTATATTAGGGGCCAATGATGCTTAATTAACTTTGGTAATAAGTACAAACTGAAATTGAAAAAAAAGCTATATACACTAAGTACTATGAAAAAAAGTTGATAGAGGAATGGCACTAATTCGCTTAGTTAAAATGTGAAAAATTGCCATATTATTATTGACTTTATTGATGCTTAGCTAATTTTGCTAATAATTGCTAATTGAAATTAAAATATAGGCTATGTTAAAAGCAATATTAATGTAGAGATAGTAATAATCCGCTTTTTAAGAGAAGTGCAAAAAATTTACCAAAATGTTATTGACGCCAATGATTCTTAATTAATTTTGGAAATAAGTACAAACAGAAATAAAAAAAGCTATATATTAAGTACTATGAAGCAAATTAATAGAGAAATGGCGAATTCGTTTAGGAGAAGTGTGAAAAATCACCATATAATTATTAACGCTATTGATGTTAAATTAATTTTTGTAATGTGCATTACTAATATTTTGGTAATTGATACAATTTTAATAGACATTAAATGCACAAATATAAGTAAAATTATATTAGTATATTTGATACCTATTAAATTAATATTGATACGAGTTTTAATATTGATACTGTTTGACTATTATGAGTTGGCCTCGAGCAACAGCATCGCGCCAAATGATTAGCGTTGTTTAGAACTGATATATTTATCACTTATTTTTTTCCACCCCGTACGAAGAACGGATATTCAGCAGGTAATTACAAAAAAAAAAAAAAAAACATCTGCGAATATTTGCGATAAAAAATATAACAAAAAAAATTAAAATGTTATCCATTTATTTGATTCGAACAGCGTTTCGAGATAAAGCTTGTAACAATTCAAAAACAAAGGAACAGGGTACTAAGGTAATTAATCTTGAAGATAATAGAAACGAATAGTTTTCAAAATTAATATTAATGAAAATACGCATTTTATTGCAAGAACGCACGCAAACTTTCTTGCAAAACGTGAAAGATTTTTTATCAAGTTTTTTGAAGGAAAAATAAAAATAATTTTTAAGAATTTACAACTGAAGTAACATTGCTTGAGTGTCTAGTATGTAATGCACAATAAGTATTTTTATTTTTTCCATTTTATAAGTTTTTCACTCATTTGTCCTAAAATAACATTTTATTTCCGTCCCCTTTCCCTATTTCAACAAATCAATCTTGAATTATCATCTATTTTATACACTGTAAAACTCATTTCCATATACTCTAAATACTGTATACTCATTTCATATCATTTGTAAATACTGTGTCTCCATAAACTGTATACACATTTTCATTATACTGTAAAACAATAAAAACTCTTACATCCGAATTTAAACTATTTTAAATAGATATCACTTTAGCGATTAGGAATTCTGGAATATAATATTAGCCTAGGTTTTTGATGATATTTGCATTTTATTACAATTTTTTTCCGTTTCGAAAGTTACTTCTCTTTTAGGGCATTTTTTATTTTTTTAGATTTTTAAAGTATTTTTTTAAATAAATAAATAAATAATTAGGAGCTTATTTGCATTTTAGAGCAAATTTCGAGTTTGGGGTATATTCTTTCCCCATTTAAAAAAAAATCTCTAGTACCATTTTTCCTAATAAATAAATGAATAAAAATAATAAAATAAACAATAAATGAATTAATAAAAATTAAAATAAAATAAATCCATAAATTACGGGACAATTTTTTGTGTGTATTTTTGAGCATTTTTTTAGTTTTTGTGTAGTAATTTTTTTTTCACCAATCACATCAGTAGATGTCGAAAGAAACTTCTCTAGACATAAAAATTTACCCTTAGACAAGAGACGCTCATTTACTATTCAAAATTATTTTGAGCTTGAGCACAACGACGCATAAACAATTGAATCGTAATTTTTAGACCAGATAATTGTGCACTGAAGTTTTTAAAGTGTTGATAGAATTATATATATAAAGCAGATTGCTTCATTTTGAACGTGCATAAGGTGATAAGTTTGTACAGGGTGATTTTTTTTTGACGATTTTTCTTTTTGATTAAAATGCTGATTATTCATATTTATTTTGATTCGCAAATGGCTAAGTTCATATTTTACCATTAAAGTTTACAATAAAAATCATTATTTAATGATTAAATATTCAAATTAGAAGGTGTTAGCTTCGAATTTATGACAGACGTCGCTCATACAAAATTAAAATTATTAAAAACGTAATAAACAGTTTGAAAAAATAAATAAATAAAATATTTATTCTTAAAGAAGAATAGTCCATTTTCGTATTCATAACTTAAACTCTGCTAGGATTGAACTAAGTTTGAAACTCATTCGAATGACAAGTTATAGGAAAATTATTAAATAAATTAAAATGGTCATTTTATATTTATGATAATTTAAAATGTAATTACTCTGATTATTATTATTCATATTGATCGAACCAAAGTATATTCTGTCGAATCATTTTTCTAACTTTCTTCATGGTGATAGTAGAGTTTTGGTGACACATTTATTATTATTATTTTTTTTTAAATTCAAATCTTAAAGTAGCGCTATATATTATAATATTCAAGTTCAAATATTGGACAATAGATGTCGCTATGAATTAAGGGAATCTTGGACTTCTCGCTTTCTGCTGAGAATGTTAATTTTGTTTAGTTTCAGATAGATCGAAATCGATAAACATCATTATCCTGATTTTACAATATTAGTACGTTAAAAAAAAAGACCAACTATTATATAGTTATGTTGCTGTGCTTTGTTCGATTTTTTAGTGCTTTTCACACATTTTTCTGATAGCAGACGAAATTTAACTAAGTTACGGTTGCACTGAAATAACTCCTTTTAACTTTTATTCTTTGAAGTGAAATATAATTAAATTTTTGATGATTTTCGAACTCTTTATTAAAAAAAAAAATCTGTTTTACTCATTTGCTTCATTTCAAATTCTTCGTTTCGAATAATAAAGGTCAATGTAAAATTTTATTTGTAACCTTAACTAATTCCAGCGTGCTTCTTTGTTTTGTAAACAGAAATCGTTAGTGATTCAATTTTATTACATAAATGTTAAATTCTCTGTTTTTTAATATTGGTTACTTTGCATAATTAATATATCTTCACTGGCCACCTTAATGTTTATCGCCTTTACACTAATTTGATTTCTTCGCAAAGTCTAATGAGCATCTTTGCTGCATTGAAAAAAAATCTTGAAGATAAAGGTAAACAACAAAATTAGAAAGTGCATCTGTTTCCACTATGTAATCTCTCATGTAGAATAATAAATTAGCAATATTGGAAAGCTCATATATCATGTTTTTGTTTTGAGTAAAATTGAAATTTTAGGTTCGATTACATATATTATCGAATATAATTCATAATACATTTCTGGTATTTATTTTAGAATAAATGTCATTGTATTCATTTGAAATTAAGTCAGAAACTATTTATCAACAGTGGGCGTGCATTTATCTAAAAAATATCTGATACACATCAAAATATTTCATATTTTCAAAAATATCAAGCTTTTTATGATTTCACATTGTTTTGAGTGTATGATTTTTCATTATTTATATCATTATCTGTTTAACTTTCACTATAATTATCATTATATACTAATATATGCAAATACTAATACATATAAATTATTTTCTTTACCTTTTTTCTTTAAAGACATAAATTATGATTTTCACCTTTCTTATTTTTCTTCGTTTGTTTTGGGCTAAAGTAAGCATCACTACATTTGAAAACGACTGCTTTAATTTTTTCATAAACAAAACTGAGTATTCTGGCATTTGCTTATAATTTTCAACTTTATTTATTTGTTAATCTTAAGTTTCAACTTTAATTATTTTCAATGGCTAAAAATATGCAGACAGGTTGTGCAATGTAAAGCTAAATTTTATAATAAAATTTTTGTTAACCCTTTCGTTTGGGCAGTTCGCTCCAATGTAGTGATGCCCTTGAACAATGTCCTGCTCCATGCATATTGCATCTTAATACTGATGCTAAGATTGTATTATTTGTTACATAACAATATAGCTGAAGATGATGCAAATATTATTATTAAAAATGCAATTTTGAATAAATAAAAAATATCTTTGTAATTTAACTTGGTATGGTAGATTTTAAAACAAGGGTCAACACATAAACTGACTTTTGATTCATTTAGATACTCATCCTCTGTTGTTTATGCTGTAAATGATGAACTTTTTAATTTTGATTTATAAGCCGAAAGATAATTTCTTTTTGACTTAAGAAACATCATATTAAGCACATTAAAAATATACTTTTAGTGGTATTAATCCAATATATGCCTATTAAATATTGACCAATGGCAGTTGGAAACACTTTGGGCCAATTATCAAATGCTATTGCTATCACTGGTTAAATACAGTGCTTGCTTATACATGACATGATGTGGATACTAGCTAAATACTGCTCTCTTAACGAAAGGGTTATGGTACATAAGTTAATTTATCTTAAAAATATGATCTTCACATTTTTTTTTAGAAGCTTGTTCTTCTTTTTATTTAAAATTGCAAGAAATAACGACTTTGATTTCACTTTTTATTAGAAGCCAAAGAGTTAAAATACTAGACTTAAAATCAATATTTTCAATTCGAAACATATTTTAATTTTGTAATATGTTGTTTTATTGTAGTTTCTTATCAACAACAAGAAGTGAAAGAAAATGAAATAAACCAGGAAACATTGAAGTTGTATTTAGATTGGAGTAAAGAGGAGAAATTTTCTAAAGGCATACCCAGGTTCTATTACAAGGTCTTTATACATGATGTGCAAACATTATAATTCTTGCTAGTGATTTTATTCTCTCTTTGTAAATTTTATAACTTTTTTTTATTGTTTGTAATTATAATCAGAGACCCAGGGCCAAAAAATTTTTGTTACTCCATTTCCACTCGCAGATAGTAGGCGAAGCTCCTGCTCTACTAAGATTACGGCAGTTTTAATATATATTAATGAGCGCTTTTAAGCTACCGATTTTAATTTGAAGAGAAACAAGGAAATAATAATAATCATCAGCTCTCACAGATACTATAAATGTAGTTCAATTTACAGTTGAGTTATTTGTTGATTCTTGAAACAAGAATTGAATCTCATAAATTCTCATTCATTCTGCTTAGCTTTTATTGTTTTGAAATTCTACCGATATTAAAAGAAATATTTAAGTTAGTTTATTTTAAGATGAAAAGCAGTATCTCTCGATATTAAAAGAAATATTTAAGTTAATTTATTTTAAGATGAAAAGCAGTATCTCTCGATGCTTGTAATGAAGGAAAAATATAAGGATGTGTTACAGTTTAAGGAAAATGCCTCAAATATTAGTTTTGATGGTTATGCATCAGTTGATGAAAATGTGTGGTTAAAAAAATGGTTGTTCAAGGTAAGAAGCGCGAAGTGATGCTGATGTAATCAACAAAATGGAACTACAACCAAAAACAATTTGTTGAAGAACTGGCTTGAAGCCTTTAAGATAATGAGGAACTTTATGTATTAAGTCAAACTTACAGAAAATAGACAACAATCTGTTACCTAAGTCAAAAATGAGAGCTGAGAAGAAAAGTGTTCAAAATAAAATTTCTAAATATTTTATATAAATAGATGTGTTAATTTATCTTCTTTAGTATCGTAAATTTTTTACATTGAGTTTATAATTTTTTTTTCTGCAAATTTTTTTTATTTATATTAGAAGATAATAATTTTTTCAAGCTCATTAATTTTAATATATTTTCAAGTCATTATTTGATATTTTATTTTGACCCACATTCGACGTTTTCCAATATCTATGGCTTATAAATTTATACTGTATTTTAAGTCTTTATTTACAATATTTCTCAATAATAAATTTTTTTTTATTTAAACAGTACAGTTTTGAAATAAATAATTATTATAAAACTGATAATTAGCACTTGATTGCAGGTTATAAGTGGATAATAAATTTTTAAAATTTATTTTTCATTTTTTTGCAGGTTCCTAATGAAGATAATAGTTTACAGCAAAAACTAAGAGATGAAGCAAGGTATTATAAACAAAGATTATGCTTTTTACTTTGAAAATGTGTTATATTATGTTATGAAATTCATTCTCTTACTTGTATGTGTCTTAGTCTGAAAAGTTCAAATAAATAAATGAAACACCCTGAATAACCTTTTGATCAGATTTTCATATACTAGGACTCAATATGCTAATTAGTCAGTGCAGCCGATATTTAAAGTTGCGAAATCAGACATAAAAGCATACTGTCCTTGGACAAAGATACCTTTTCTCAACGGATTATAATTTCTGACCCCCAAAATATAGATGATAGCTGCAATTATTGAAATATGATAAAAAAGTTTGCACTCCTTAAGGTTAGTTTATTTTTGCGTATTTTGTCATAGCATGAAAACTTTTTAATTGAATCGAAAATTTTCGTGTGCATTTAAAATTTTGTTTATTCGAGATATTAGTTTTAAAAAATGAAATTTATTATTTTATTTATATACAGTCTAAAGATTTTTGAATTGCAAAGTGTACATATTTCTACTGATTGAAATTTTATATGTTAAAATACGAAATAGGTTGAATAGTTTCTGAGAAATTGAATTTTAAATATCCATATATATTTAACTATTTTAAGTATACAGTTTTTTAAAGTTTGAGTTCTCCGGAACTATCTGAGCAGGTAGTTGGATTTTGCTTTTATTTTATATTGTTGATTTAAGACTTATGTTAAAAAAATTTTGTCTACATGTTTTTTTTCTATTTTTTTGTTTTTTTTTGTTTAGGGCAGTTTTTATTGAAAGAAAAAATAAAGAATTGTTGGATAATGAAGATTTAAAGGTTAGTTGGTTGAAGCATGCAATACAAATTTTTTTGCCAATTTTATTTTTAGATGTAATTTAAGTTTTTTGAACTGTTAATAAGATGGATCTTTTTGAAGAATATGTTATATTTTAATGACAAAATTGTGTACTCTGTGCTGTAAATGTAAATGATGCTAAGCAACATGACTGAAGCAGAAATAAACCCTTAAAATCAGACTTATTATGGTTATATCAACAAGAACCTTGCTCTGTGTCAAAACATATCTCTGTGTTAATATCAGTGTCACATAAATTAATAAAATTAGACATGTTTTTCACTTTTTCTAGCTTTATTAATTTATGTCATGTTTTTTATTTTCTCAAAAATTATCATTTTAAGACATTGTAAAATAAGTGAAATTTGTATTCCATTTAAACTATTTTATGTTCAATAAAAATTATTCATAATTAGGATAATTTTTATATTTGAAAAGGATGATTTTCGATGCACTACTTGTCTTCTTGGTTCAAGGGCCCACAGCTAATGAGTTTTGTTCATCATAGCCTTTCAAATGTTTGTTGTTTTCAATTAGTAACCTTTACTAATGTTTCCATGGCCTCCTCATCAAGCCATCTCATTGGAGGTTCTTATCTAATAAATTTCTCAATTGACTTACTATTGGTCAAAAATATTTCTTAAAAGTTAAAAATTCCCTATTTTCTAACTCTCAATCTTCTTATGCCATTTCTGACTTTGTAATAAATATATTTGAGTAGAATATTAGTTAGGGAGAGTAAAAAATAAAAATTTATTATTATAAATACATTACATTTAAGATTCTCTTGAAGTGTTATGCAATACCTCAATTTTTGCTTTTTATATTTTTATGCATTTCATTAATTTCTATCACTTATTTTTATTTAATTTTTTTTTTTACAAACGGTAATCTTACTGAATGTATTATTTCTAATTGAGGCTGCAAGATATGTTAATCAAATTGCTCTGTTTCAAAAAAAGAAAAAAAAATTTAACATAAACTTGTTTGTTTAAAATTCCTGTAATTTTGCACATTTATATGAAACATGGAAGATCAAAAGTTTCAGAAACTTTTATATTAGTTACTTTATAATGATCTACGTCATTTTGGAAAGATATTTGTCACTTTCTAATGTAGTGGCTAGTAGTGTCTACTATACTAATTTTCTTTGTAATAATAGATATTTATTTTTTACAAATTTTATCTAATAGTTTAATACTTGTGCATCTAAAACAAGATTTTAATGCATTCAAACCTCCTTTAGCAACCACCTGTAATTGTAACTCTTATAAAATAATTAATCAACTATGCAATACTGTACTTAAAATAATGCATTAAAAATAAATTGACAATATATTTAATATCTTATTAGTACTTGTAATCTTACTTTTTTGTCATATTATACTGTTTGTGATTTATTCATTTTTATGATATTTGCGCATTTAATTTGTTGATAATAGCAGACATAAAATACCAGACATCTGTTAATGCCAGACTCGTCTGACTATCTGGATATGAGCTCAGAGTAGAGTCTCTTGTTATCGCCGGACAGTATTCATGTAGTTTACAATTATCCGAGAATTTCGTTTTTGTCAACTTGCCTCCCAATGAAGTAAACCAGGTTCGAATCCTAGGAATGGCTGGTTCATGCAAATTCCGCACCTGGCTTGCACCGATTACAATGCTGATATAAAATGTCCTCAGTGGTAGACGGATGATAGATTGGAGTCCCCTTGTCGTCAAACTAACTGTGGGAGATTTTTTTGTGGCTACGAAGTTGAACATTAGTAGCCGTAAACCCAAAATTGGGTCAGCTGTTCAAAAATACACTTGTAATCTCTTTATCATCAGATAATTTAGAGAGTCTCGCATTTTTTGAAAATAAGTTTTGATAAACATTCAACTGTTATCAAAAGCTCTAATATTTTTTTTATTTGCAAACAATACCTTCAAATTATTAAGAATTATTTTTTATTTAATTTCTCAAAATTTTTATTAATTAAAAGCATTTGCTGTTTTTTATTAATTTTGCCTAAAATTCAGCGTTTATTAAATAAGATTTGAATTTTTATTTAATAGGAATTATGGATGCTTCTAGAGCAAAATCTTTCTCCACCTTTCACTACTGGAGATCACATGATCAATTATGCTGACTTCAAAAAAGTGAAAAATAAGTGCCATGATAAGTTTAAGTAAGTCATTTTTTTGTAATATGCAAGATATTGCACACAGTTTTTACTCTTTTCATTGCTTTGCTTTCTCCATTATTATCAATATTTTGTTCTAAAGGCCACTAAATCTTTGTTGCAAACATTAAAGTTATTCTTTTAATTTTTTCTTTATATGCTCTTTTATTATATATTCAATATTTGTTTCAACTGCCATACAAATGTTTAAAAATTTGAATCTTATTTTTGCCTTTTTTAAAATTTTTTTTCCCCTTTTTTTCCCATTATATTCAATATTTTGTGATGAATGTTCAGATCGGAAAAATATCTGCCACTGGAAAGTTTCTCTGTTTTTTTACAAAGTGATAAAAGTAAAATAAGTATTTTATATTGGTCATCCTTATTTTTTTAAAATTGATCTTAAACTTATTTTGTAAATTTTTATTGTTAAATTTTTTGTTATAGTAAGCATACCACTTTTCAGTGCTATCTTTTTTTTTTTCCCGTCTCATAGCTGTTGAAGATTTAGTTAACAATTCAGAAGTGGAAAAATTTGATATGTTGGACTGGGCCACCATTCACAAATTGCACAAAAGTGCTTAAAGTGATCTGTTCTGCCTGATGTTTTGTTTCAGAATTTTAAGAATTGAATAATATTATAAAGATGGAAGAAAAATTTGATTAATTAAATACACTTTTTATGGAATTTTATAAGGGGTAATGGGAGCCGTTATAGTTTACTTTTATAAGAGGAAATCAAAACTTGTAATATAGAGATTTATTGATTCAAATATTTGGATATATCTCTTTGTACAGTTTATTTAAAATGTTTCTAACCTTATATAATTACCACAAAATGTTTAAAATTGGGATTATTAATATGAATTTTTATGAAAAATTTAGTTGTATTCAAGATTAATGAAACACGAAAAATATTAAGTTTTCCTTCTTAAATAATAAACTAAATTATTATTTTGGACCATATTAAATCATCCAATTGACTCATAGTAAGAAATTAAAGTAACAAAAGTTTAATAAGTTATAATATTTTAAAACAACCTACAGAGAAGAGACATTCTCAAACTTAAAATGAAATTATCGGATCTGTTTGTGAAAACGAAAATGCTTTTGATTTAATCTGTGTTTTATTTTATACTATAGTTAATTCTTTTAATTAATGGTTCTTATTATAGTATAATTTGCAATTAATATTAATAATATTTTGAAAAGCATGTTTCTTAAGTTTTATGTTACCTCACTAATAATTTAGTTTTTTTTTTAACTGCTAGCGATTTGTATGTTAATCATGATTTTTTGTCATTTAGATCATATTTTACTGCAAAGAATTTCTGTAAGCTTTTACAGAATGATAAAAGTGGGCGAGTTTCAATTCGTCATTTTTTCAATTATGTAATGAGAAAAGTATGGCTCCATCAGACGAGAATCGGTTTGTCATTTTATGATGTAGCTGGCCAAGGTTATCTAAGAGAAATGGTAAGCTTTTTAAATTATTCGTTTGAAATATTTTTCATATTTTTATACTTGTGGAACTAAAAAAAAAACTTATTTAAATCTTTATATATTAAAAATTAACTGAAATTTTATGATTTCAATATATTTTGCAAAGTAATTGACATTCAAGGCTCTTTAGTTTCAGATTGACTGTTCTGTGTCATTTATAACAAACTGGATTATTACCGTTTAATGTGGAAATCTGCCTTGTCTATTGAATTTCAAATGGCAACTTTTTCTTACAAAATATATGTTTTTAATCTTCAAAGTTTGTGTAAAATTCTAATATTTTTCAGCTTTTTAAAGAATTTTTACTGTATTATAAAAAAAAAAGTTTCAGTAAATTTTGCTTTTTAGCTCCAAACTGTTTAAAAACAATTTCAAGAACGTAAAAATACAATAATGGTTATCATATACAACTAATTTTGATTCTGTTGCTTTTCACTTTATCTATCTTTAAATAATAAGAGCTTTAAGCGAATAAGAGCTTAAATAATAAGAGCTACTAAAAAAATTCTATTTTCAAACCACATCTGTTACCTTACATCTGTTAAAATTATTGTTTATGTCTCTTTTTAAAATTGGTAAGGGACATTGCTTATTTCTTTTATTAGCTGCAATAGATTAATTGTTGTGAAAGAATGAGTTAAAATTCAGTTGGTGTTCTACTAAGAAGCCTCTTTCTTAATCTTGCCTTAATCTTGGATTCGTAATTTTCCCCCCTAATTTTTTTTAGTATTAAGTCGTATCTTGATCCATTGTTCATGCATCTTTTGTTTCCCGTATGTATCATCTTGTTTAAACAGGCCCATCACATTCTTCTATTAATACAGTGAATTCGCGATAACTCGAATCTGATAGGACTGACGAAAAACTTCGACATATCGGAAGTTCGACTTACCGTTAGTTTCGGTTTTGGACTTTCAAAATATTATCGGATTATTTAATTAATGCTTATTAATTACAAATCTTCTAAATGCTTACAATATTTAAGATCATTTTTCTAACAAGCCATTTACGATAAGACTGTTTAAGCACTTTATGATACCCTGGTCCATCGGCTGCAACTTTGCTGTTGTGTTTGGCGGGACAAACTTACTGCTTACAAATTAGGTAGATAACTATGCGTTGTGCATTTATCCATAAAAAGTATCACTTTTCTTTTTTTAGCGAAGAATTTCCGATCCAATTTTCTTACATAGT